GTTCACCAAGTGGTGGCCTAAACTCATGGACAACTAGACGCCATGGACAAAGAGATAAGAAAGTTGACCTTAGCCAAGGTCTAGAGCCAACCATCATCAGTTTGTGATTTCTGTGGAATGGGTCATCCAACACATCCTTAGCTGCAAATGAAGTGGTAAATATTATGGGAAGATTTGATAGAGGCAACTACCAGAGTGGTAATAATTTTAATTCTATGAGACAGAGGCACCCAGGCTTTCCTTGGAGTTCACCAAGTGGTGGCCTGAACTCATGGCAGTAAAATAACTCCAGATCCTAGGGACAAGGAGCTCCGTGTGTTAAAAATCAGCAGAGGCAGCAATATCAGCCTCCACAGTCTAATTAGTCTAGCATGGAAGATCTAATGAAGGCCTTTATTATTAAGACAAATGAGAGGCTTGAAACCCATAGATCAGCTATACGAGAACATGACGCAACTATCAAAGAACTGGGCACGACTTTTTGAAACCTAGAAAGAGAGGTTGGGCAACTAACTACTCTATTGTCTGAGAGGGTTCCAGGGACACTCCCTACTGATACTGAAATAAATCCAAAAGAGAAAATAAATGCAGTGTCTTTGAGGAGTGGGCACGAGTTGGAGAATTCCATAGCAAAATAAGAGGATAAGCCGATTGAAAGATATGTGGAGATTGTGGAAGAGCAGAAAAATGATGACATGCAAAAAGGTGCAGGAATGATGGATGGTGGTCTGAAGAAGAAGGGGAAGACTAGATCTCAGAAAAAGGAGAAGGATGACAATGAAACAAATAATGAGACTGAAGAGAGAAAATACATGCCTGCTCTACCTTCTCCCAAAAACAAAGAAGAGAAAAGCTGGACAAACAATTTGAGTGCTTGATAGAAGTGTTCAAGCAGGTGCATGTAAATATACCTTTCACAGAGGTGCTTTCACAGATGCAAGCTTATGCTAAATTCATGAAGGAGATATTGTCCAAGAAACTAAGAGTGGAAGAGACATCGGTGGTCAAGCTCATGGAGCATTGTAGGCCATCTTGCAGAATAAGCTCCCTAAAAAATGTGGAGATGCAGGAAGTTTTACTATACCTTGCTCTTTAGAAAGTACTAAATTTAAAAAATCTTTGTGTGATTCAGGTGCTTCCATTAATCTTATGCCTTTGTCTATTTTCAGGAAATTAGAGGGAGAGATTGGAGAGATCAGGTCGGTACCTATGTCCCTGCAGCTGGCGAATCATACCACAATTATATCGGAAGGAATAGTGGAGGATGTGCTAGTTCGGGTGCACAGATTTGTGTTCTCGGTGGACTTAATTATGGTGAACATGGAGGAGAATATGGAGGTCCCTCTTATTTTAGGAAGACCTTTCTTGGGTACGGGCAGAGTAATTCTAGATATTCAAGAAAGGCAGCTCATGCTTAGAGTGGGGGATGAAAGGTTGATCTTCAAAATGGAAGGAGAAAGGGGGGCCCTAAAAGAGCAAATTGGAAAGAGTGAAACTGATAATTATGGGGTGTACCCAAAGAAGGCAGAAAAGAAGCTCTCAGTATGGATGTGTGCATTCGGTCGGGCGTGCAAAGGAGATCCCAACTTCGATTCAGATCCCAACTAGATAAATCAGGGAAATTTCCTTTACCCCTTGCTTTTCATTTGTGTGTCATGGGGACATGCCACAATTTAAAATGTGGGGTGGGGGATGATGTAAATATGTACATGTGTGTTTTTTATTTCGTTTTTTTTTTACTTTTCCCGACAATGGATTTCCGCGATTGTCTTCTTGATGGATCAAAGTCGAAGAAGAAAAATAGTTTGCTTTTCTTAGGTAGTGTAATAATTTCTTCTTGGTTTTTCTTTGTGCCATGATTCTTTTCTAAGGGTTTTGCTTGAACCGTGTGTAGTTGATTTTTCTTTTAGTAGGAGTAGTGAAGTATTGTGCTATGTATTAAATGGATATGACTTTTGACTTTGTTGTGCCTTGAGAGGAGTGAGTGCCTTAGTTGTGACACCTAGGCTTAGTTCTTGATTCTTAAATAAGTACCTTAAATTGTTTGATTGTAACTTTGCTTAACTGCTTTGACTAGATTCGATCCTAAGTGAGTTATGTGCCAATGTGTGTGTGAGATTTTGTTGATATTTTGTGCATGTCGGTTGATGGCTAGAACTTTCCCCGTGTGTTTACAAAGCAAAATAATAGTCTTGTTGAGTCTAGAAAGTGATATAGGCATTTCTTTGTTGAGCCAGATATATGCTTTTACCCACCTAATTGTGAAGTATCTTAATTAGCCCTATTGAGCATGTATTCCTATTTCTTTGGCAACCACACTATAAGCTTGACCCCTTTGTTTGAATTGTCTATCTATTTAAACTTTTTACCTCTCGTGGGCACTTGAATTTGTATGAGCTTGTAAAATCTAAGTGGGGTATGGTCGGATTTTGAGTGGAACTATAAAAAAAGGAGAAAGGTAAACTATTTGAAAAAATTGTGAGAGCCACTTGTAGAGAATTGAAAATAAAAAGAGAGTTTGATTGAAAAGAAAAAGAAATCAGAACTTAGAAAAGAAAAAAATGGATTCCATGCTAGTGGTAGTTCTCATCTTGTTTGCGCTTAAAGATATTGGGAGCTTGATGCTATTATGCATGAGGGTTGGGGTTTGGTTTAACATAAGTGTGGGGTTTGAATTGTTAATGTATATGTATTAATGTGCTCAGGGAGGTGTAGTCACTATATCCAAATCTATCCTACCCGTCCCGCAGCTCACATTACAACCAAATTAAGTCCTACTTGATCCTTGATTGAATGAGCTCAATTAGTAGAGTGTTATACTACGGGCAAGCATATGATACATTCTCTATGGCGCACGAATTTTATTCCTGAGAGTGAGTTAATCCTGTTTATCTTGAGTTCCTATTTGTTCCTGAATTTCATTGTGTGCGGAACTAATCTCTATTGTTTGTGTGAGGGCACATGACTTGCGAAGGTAAGGTGAAATCTTTGACCTCTGTGTTAGAGTAAGTGAGCAGGTTGTGAAAAATGTGTGGTGCTCTTGTGTCGAGTCTTAAGGTTAGAATGTTATGAAATAGTGCTTAGTCTATTTTAAATATTCTTGGTTAGCGTTAGGGAAGTTGTCACATAAGAGGGCCATCTCTATGTGAAGTGCAGTTTGATTGCTCAAGGACGAGCAATGATTTAAGTATGGGGCGTTGATGGAAGACTAGAATCACATGTTTTAGTCATAGTTTGCACTCTAATTACCGTATTTTACTTGTGTTTGAGCTTAAATGTTAATGTATTGCACTTATTATGTGTTTTATGCCTTGTAGGAAGTGATTTTGATTTAAAAGGATAGTCGGGAGCTAAGTTGAACAAGTTGAAGTTCTGAAGTCTGAGTAAAAGCCCAAGAGATTAAACCGGGATCGCGTTCGGGGGTCGGGAGCCAAGTCTAGATGCCAAGACGCGAAGAAAACGAAACACTCTGTAAAACTTCACTGCCGCACTGCATGGGGCGGCACGACATTGTATTTCTGGTTCTGCTCGTCAGAACCTACTCTCTGAACTTCCCCACTAATGCCCCGCATGAGGTGGCACAAGGCGCGACGCGTCTGTATAATTTTCTCAGAGTACTTTCTTGTTTCAACTCGGAAAAGGTAATTTCGCCTAGGCCCACTCCTATAGGGTACAAATACATCAAAAAATATTTTTGAAGGGACTTTTGACCTGGGAATCTTTGGGAGAGCATTGGAGGCTACAAGATATAGGATTTCATCAGCTTTCCATCAATTCAATACGAGAGTTTGGATTGTAACGTTAGATTGATGCTTTCTTACTCTTTAATTATATTTGTGATGACTTCCTCCATGATTATGGAGTAGTTTACCTTAGGGTTTGACGGATATGGTGTTTTGATAAATATTTGTGGATTATAACTCTAGTTCTTCACATTAATTTGTTTACGGAGCTTTGAATTGTTGCAACTTTATTCACCGGTTTATTTAGACGAAAGAGGAATATTTTTATAATTATCTTTGTATTATTTTGTTTGATTTAATTAAGTGATTATCTTAATTAATCGAAAGAGCTTGTTGAATTGTTGATTAAATCAAGTTAGGAGAATATTCGAGAGACGTTTTCCTAAAGACTAATCCATTAACGCATGCTTGCATATTTTCACAATGCTTATATTAGTTCACCTCGTAGGGTTAAGATTTAATCGAGAGAGGAGTCTTGACTACACGTTTGAACTAGTCATGTGAATTCGTGAGAATCATTAGAATATTAGAGTGAATTAAACTAGAGTTAAATACCAAATAGCTATCTTGCACCTATCTTGTCAAAACCCTTATTTCTTACATTGATAAGAAACAAATTCCGATAATCTCTAGTTCTTTGCAGTCAATTGTCAGTTGATTTACTTTAGTATTTAATCGTAGTTGTAATCATTTAACTCAAGTGGTGATCCTCCTAAATAGCAATTAGGTCAAAAATTACTCGAATATTGTTTGAATCCAATCCCTGTGGAGACGATGTTTTACTATACTATCTTTGATTAGTGAGCATTAATTTTGTGTTGTATTTTGCGCTCGTTAATTTGTCATCACCACCCTTGCTCTCAAAACGATAACCAGGATAGCACCTCCTCGTTTTCCTCGCCGTCTTGGAAGTACCAATAAGTGCGGTCTTGGTTCGAGAAAATAAAGGCACACAATCTCCAATTTATTATATCAGTAAAACACTTGTCGGTGCCGAGATGAGGTACCCACACCTCGAGAAACTAGCCTTGGCCCTGATCGTAGCTTCATGAAAGCTTAGACCCTATTTTCAGTGTCACCCTATCTCAATCATCACCACTTTTCCTTTAAGAAGTATATTTCATAAACCTGAGCTGTCGGGGAGGCTAGTCAAATGGGCCATCGAGTTAAGCGAGCACGACATCACTTATCAGCCTCGCACAGCCAATAAAGTCGCAAGTACTCGCCGACATCATCGCAGACTTTAGCACAAAAGTAATGCCTGAGGCTGAAAAGGAAGCCACTCAACCTTCTCTTCAGACACATGACCTTTGGGTCCTGTACACCGATGACACATCCAATACATGCGGGTCCGGGATGGGACTCGTACTCGAGGTTCCCGGCGGTAAGATAATTTGCCAATCCATAATATATCCGAACATGACTAACAATAAGGCCGAGTATGAGGCCGTAATTACAGGATTAATACTGGCACTCATGTACGGAGCGAAGCGATTAAAGCTTCATTATGATTCTCAGCTCGTAGTCAACCAGGTTAGTGGGACTTTCCAAATTAAAGAGCAGAGGTTGCAAAAATATCAGACCGAGATCTGCATATTATTACCCAGTTTCGATGAGTGCCAGCTGAACCAAATTCCACGAAATCAGAACGTCGAAGCAGACGGTCTCGCTAAGTTGGCCACCACCACCGAAAGTGTAACCCCTGGGGATAAGAATGTAGTTCACCTCCTCAGCTCGACATTGGAACATATCGATGTAAAATTTGTAGATCTAACTTGGGACTGGCACAATTGTATTATAAACTATTTGCAGAACGGCACCCTCCCAACAACAAAATGGAAGCCAAAAAGTTGAGAATGCAAGCTTCCAGGTACAACCTCCTTCACAATGACTTATACAAGAGTACGTACGGCGGTCCCTTGGCAAAATGCTTAGGCCCAAACCAAACCCATCGCGTCCTCGAGAAAGTCCATGAAGGTCATTGTGGCAGTCACTCCGGTGACCGAGCACTCGTTAGGTGCCCCATACGGGCCAAGTATTATTGGACCACCATAAAAAATGATGCTCTAGGATTTGTGAATAACTGTGAGCAATGTCAAAAATACGTCCCGATAATTTACCAGGTAGGCGAGCACCTCCACTCCGTCATTTTTCTGTGGCATTTCATTAAATGGGGAATGGACATTGTGGGACCACTTCCACCAGGACGAGGTAACGTAAAATTCCTTTTAGTTTTAACTGACTATTTCTTCAAGTGGGTGGAAGCAGGAGCATTCACCCAAGTGCTTGAGCAAGAGGTAATCTCCTTTATATGGAAAAACATCATTTGCCAATTCGGCCTACCTAAAGAGATAAGCTGTGACAACGGGCCCCAGTTCATGGGAAGAAAAACCACCGAGTTCTTCGAAAAATATCATATTAAAAGGATACTTTCAACTCCTTACCACCCAGCCGGCAACGGACAAGCAGAATCCTCCAATAAGTCTATACTGAACATCATGAAAAAGAAACTCGAAGAGGCTAAGGGAATGTGGATAGATGTACTCCTAGAGGTATTATGGGCGCATAGAACTACCTCGAAGACGAGCACACGAGAGACACATTTTTCTCTAGTCTTCAGAATAGAAGCAGTTATACTAGTCGAGCTCGGAGAACCTAGCGTGAGGTCAATGAGCGAAGATATATGGCATAGATAAGGATGGTCGCCCAGAAACAACAAGCAGAGCGTTACTACAACAAAAAGGAAAAGGTCCAATTGCTCAAGACGGTCTCGCTAAGTTGGCCACCGCTACCGAAAGTGTAGTCCTTGGGGATAAGAATATAATTCACCTCCTCAGCTCGGCATTGGACCATATAGATGTAATATCTGTAGATCTAACTTGGGGCTGGCGCAATTGTATTATAAACTATTTGCAGAACGGTACCCTCCTAACGACAAAAAGGAAGCCAAAAAGCTGAGAATGCAAGCTGCCAGGTACAACCTCCTTCACAACGACTTATACAAGAGTACGTACGGCAGTCCCTTGGAACAATGCTTAGGCCCGAACCAAACCCATCGCGTCCTCGAGAAAGTCCATGAAGGTCATTGTGGCAGTCACTCCGGTGACCGAGCACTCATTAGGTTCCTCCATACGGGCCAAGTATTATTGGCCCACCATGAAAAACGACACTCTAGGATTTGTGAATAAATGCGAACAGTGTCAAAAATACGCCCCGATAATTCACCAAGTAGGCGAGCACCTCCACTCCGTCACTTCTCTGTGGCTTTTCATTAAATAGGGAATGGACATTGTGGGACCAGGACGAGGTAACGTAAAATTCCTTTTAGTTTTAACTGTCTATTTCTTCAAGTGGGTAGAAGTAGGAGCATTCGCCCAAGTGCGTGAGCAAGAGGTAATCGCCTTTATATGGAAAAATATCATTTGCCGATTCGGCCTACCCAAAGAGATAAGCTATGACAATGAGCCCCAGTTCACGGGAAGTAAAACCACCAAGTTCTTTGAAAAATGTCATATTAAAAGGATACTTTCAACTCTTTACCACCCAGCAGGAAACGGACAAGCGGAATCCTCCAATAAGTCTATACTGAACATCATGAAAAAGAAACTCGAAGAGGCTAAGGGACTGTGGACAAATGTACTCCTAGAGGTATTATGGGCGCATAGAACTACCTCGAAGATGAGCACATGAGAGACACCTTTTTCTCTAGTCTTCAGAACAGAAGCAGTTATACCAGTCGAGCTCGGAGAACCTAGCGTGAGGTACTCCCATGAAAGCGGCACCAGCAATGGCGAGAGTAGGAGGAAATATCTCGACCAGGTCAATGAGCAAAGATATATGGCATAGATAAGGATGGTCGCCCAGAAACAACAAGCAGAATGTTACTACAACAAAAAGGCAAAGGTCCGATTGCTCAAGATCTGGGACTACGTACGCAAAGCCAAAACCCAAGCAAACAGGGATCCACGAGAAGGCAAGTTGGGATCCAACTGGTATGGACTATATAAAATTATAGGCAAAGTAGACAAGGGTTCATTCCAACTGGAAACCATGGAAGGGAAACCCCTGCCAAACAATTGGAATATCAGCCATCACAAGTACTTCAACTTCTAAAAAATAAGAAATGCCCTGTAAGTCATACTATTTTTTCCCTCACTTGAGGTTTGTCCCAATTGGGGTTTCTCAAGGAGGGTTTTAACGAGGAGACGAGTGGGACACTTCGAGTTGAAGTACACGAGAGCAGACAAATGTTTCATTGCTCGACTCCTCAAGATTCTCCAAGTCGAACAATGAAGGGACTAGATATACTGAGACTGGGACTGGAACACCAGCCAACACCCGAAACTTGTAACTTTCTCCAAATATTGCACAAAGGCAAAATAATGTAATCAGAGCAATGCCGTCAAAATAATAGAAATGCACGTTTATCGAAACTGCTCTCATGAATGGTTAAGTTCGATCAAGCTCGAACAACACCTATCGTCCCTCGGCCACGACTTAATAAAAGATTAAGTTCGACCAAGTTCGAACAACACCTATCGGGCCTCGGCCACGAATTAATGAAAGGTAAAGTTTGACCAAGCTAGAACAACACCTATCGGCCCTCGACCGTGATTTATGAAAAGTTAAGTTCGACCAAGCTCGAATAACACATGTCGACCCTCGACCACAATTTAACTTAAAAGTATATTCAATCGAACAAATGCCGATACACCCATGATTAATCAACTCCATGGCTATCGCGACTTAGAAAATAACAATGAAGAAAACACAAAAGGAAAATACAAGTACAAAAACAAGAACGCACAAAGACAGAAGGCATATACAAGACCAAAAGAACATTTATATTCATAAAGAAAGTTTATACAAAGACATTCGAAGACGCCAACTATAATACAAGAGATTAGCAAACAACACAATAAATAATCAGTGGTCGTCACCTTTTACGACCCAAAATTTCCCACCGACGCGATCGCGATGGCGCCTAACATTTCACTTGCTAGGCAAGCCAACATTATAGAATCATTAACCAATTCCTTATTTCCATTTAGTAATTAACAATAACTAACTAAAATAAAATATAATAAGTGCGAAATATCATAAAATTGTATTAATTACTACCACCCGGATCTGGAGTCACAATTCACGAGCATTCTAGAACTTACTACAAGTAATAGTCTGAAAGAAACACAACTGTCTGAATGAAAGAAAATAGTAGGACATAAAAAGATAGACGGGGACTTCAAGGTCTGTGAACGCCGACAGATCTACCTTGAGTCTCCGGACAGTGGACCAATAGCAAATCTCGATCAACCTGAGCTGGTATCAAAATATGCACAGAAAGTGCAGAGTGCAACATCAGTACAACCAACCCTATGTACTAGTAAGTGTCGAGCCTAACCTCGACGAAGTACTGACGAGGCTAAGGCAACGCACTTACAATCAACCTGTACAATTTAACAGTGTATATACAAATAACAGAGATGAAGCACTAAATAGGAAATGTCGGGAGGGGAACATACGGATGGGAATACAAGATAAAAAAACTACAACAGAATGATCACCGGAGTAGTCAATATACCATGAATCAACAGGAATAGTGAATACAGTAAGACAAAATGCACGGCATCACCCTTCGTGCTTTTACTCTCAATCTCACCATAAAATTAATAGAAATGGCACGGCATCACCCTTCGTGCATTAAATCTCATATCATGGCACGTCATTACCCTTCGTGCATTAACACTCACAATATGACACGACATCACCCTTCGTGCATTAACACTCACAATANTCGTGTATTAACACTCACAATATGGCACGGCATCACCCTTTGCATTAACACTCACAATATGGCACGGCATCACCCTTCGTGCATTAACACTCTCCCTTACCATAATGCAATGCATAAATAACAACAGGGAGATAGATTAACAAGTACAAACCTTACTTCAACATTTAGTTCCATAATATCAATCTTAACTTTGAAATAAAAACTCAATTATTACCAGAAAATCCGTAAACAAGATAAAAACGATAAATTGAACAACACTAGTATAACACGTAGCAATTTGGCATAGGAAAGAGACAATATCAGAAAAATAGAGAAACATGGAAAAATAGGTAAATTGGCGGCGCATAGGTACTCATCACCTCACATATACGCCGCTCACATGAATTTCACTTAGCAAATAATCTAAGGTTCCTAATTTCCTTAAGTCATGGTTAGACACAACACTTACCTCGCTCCGAAGACCACTTAATTCTCAATCACAGCTTTTCCTTTGGAATTCACCTCCAAACCACTCGTATCTATTCAAAAATGACTAATAATATCAAATATTGCTAAAGGAATCAATTATATTGCATAAATTAAATTTCCCAAATTTTCCTCCAAAAAGTCGAAATATCGACCCCGGGCCCGCTTGGTCAAAAACCAAGGTTCAGACCAAAATACTTTTACCCATTCATCCCCGAGCCCAAATATGTAATTAGTTTTGGAATCCCACCTCAAATTGAGGTCTAAATTCCCAAATTCCCGAAATCCCTATTTTCTACCCTAACCCGTAATTCTACCATAAAAATTCTAGATTTTAGGTTGAAAATTCAAGAAATGTAATGGGTAATTGAAAGAAAATGCTTTAGAATCACTTACCAAAAATTTGGGGAAGGAATGACACTTGAAAAATCTCCCCTTACCGTTTGATTTTTGAGAAAAATGAGTTTTTTGGAAAAAAATCCGTTTTGGATTCTGTTAAGTTCTGGGCGACAGTGTTCATTGCGTTCGCGAGAGCACTGTCGTGTTCGCGAAGGATATTGGCTGCCAAGCCTTCGCGTTAGCGAGACCCAGCTCGCGTTCGCGATGATCACTCCCCTCTGGCCTTCGTGTTCGCAAGGAATGGCTCGCGTTCGCGCTGAAGGAACGACCCCCCCAGGTTCCCACATGCTTCGCGTTCACGTTGAGTCGGTCGCGTTCGCGAAGGGTAAATCCCCCATCACTTCGCGTTCGCGACCAGGCCTTCGCGTTCGCGAAGAAGAAGTCTCAGCCTCATCAGATTACTCTTCGCGCTCGCGAGAGGACTGTCGTGAATGCGAAGAAGGATATGACAGACACCAGAATCTGCAGAAAACCAGATTTTTTCCAAATCCAAAACATCCCGTGGCCTATCCGAAACTCACCCGAGCCCTAGGGGCTCCAAACCAAATATGCACACAAGTCCAAAAATATCATATGAACTTGATCGCGCGATCAAATCGCCAAAATAACACCTAGAACTCTAAATTTAGCACCAAATCAAATGAAATTCTCAAGAACACTTTAAAACTTCTAATTTCTCAACTGGACGTCCGAAACACGTCAAATCAACTCCATTTCTCACCAAATTTCAATATCATAATGAACCCTTAACGGACTCTGGAACCAAAATACGGATTCGGTACTAACAATGCCAAACATCAATCAATTCTTAAAAACAATTAATTTTCAGACTTTTAATTTTCGTCAAAAATTCATAACTTGAGCTAGGACCTCCGAATTCGACTCCGGGTATACGCCCAGGTCCCATAATTCGATACGAACCTACCGGGACTGTCAAAGCACAGATCTGGGCCCGTTTACCAAAAATGTTGATCGAAGTCAACTAAAATCAACTTTTAAGGCAAAATTCTTATTTTCATCAGTTTTCAACATAAAAGCTTTCCAGAAATCTTCCCGGATTGCGCACGCAAATCAAGGAGGATACAAATGAGATTTGTATGGCTCAAGAGCGCATATTCGAGTTCTAAAACATAAGATGACCTTTTAGGTCATCACATTCTCCACATCTAAAACAACCGTTCGTCCTCGAACGGACATAGAAAAATACCTGGGCTGGTGAAAAGGTGGGGATATCTACTCCGCATATCGGACTCGGACTCCCTAGTAGCTGCCTCAATAGGCTGACCTCTCCACTGTACTCGAACTGAAGGGTAACTCTTTGACCTCAACTGACGAACCTGCTGGTCTAGAATGGCCACCGGCTCCTCCTCGTAAGTCAAATCCTTGTCCAACTGGACAGAGCTGAAATCTAACACGTGGGATGGGTCACCATGATATTTCCGGAGCATAGACACATGGAATACCGGATGAACTGAGGATAACCCTGGAGGCAACGCAAGTCTATAAGCTACCTCCCCCACTATCTCGAGGATCTCAAATGGCCCGATATACCTAGGGCTTAACTTGCCCTTCTTCCCAAATCTCATAACACCCTTCATGGGCGATACCCGAAGCAATATTCTTTCTCCAACCATGAATGCAATATCACGAACTTTACGGTCACCATAACTCTTTTGACTGGACTGAGCTGCATGAAGTCGATCCTGTATAATCTTGAACTTGTCCAAGGCCTCCTGAACTAAATCTGTACCCAATAACCGAGCCTCCCCCGGCTCGAACCACCCAACTGGTGACCTGCACCGTCTACCATATAATGCCTCATAGGGAGCCATCTGAATGCTCGACTGGTAGCTGTTATTGTAGGCAAACTCCGCTAACGGCAAAAACTAATCCCAAGAACCTCCAAAGTCAATAACACAGGCGTGGAGCATATCCTCCTAGATCTGAATAGTACGCTCGGACTGCCCATCCGTTTGAGGATGAAATGCTGTGCTCAACTCAATCCGCGTACCCAACTCATGCTGAACTGCCC